GACATTATTACACCCGCAGGAAAGCCAAAGGGTGGTAAGTAATGTTATGGCTGATCCAGCGTGTAGTTGAGCAAACATCATTACTTAAGCCACTTCAATAAAAATATCTAAACCTAAGAAAAAAAGATAATTATATTTTGAAACAAAAAAAAAAATAAAATTGCTGCAGTCTGATCAAAAAAACCTTCACAGCTGTTGAGACAATAGGCAAACTAGAAAAATGTTCTCGCTCCAGATAAATGATCTACAATTGCATGTAATAATGCTTGCTTAGATTCCCTACAGCACACCGTAAAAAGAAATTCGAGTTCCAGAGGAAACGGAAGGGAAGGCGAGAAATGACGGTTTACTTTAATGAAGTACTGGAAAAGACCAGCAAGCCCAGAAGTCATGAAATTTATAACAAAAAACTCGGGCCCGCGCCAGCACCCAACAGAGAAAATGGCAATTGCTGGACTTTGTCCACAAGATTGGGTGGTTTATATGAATCCGCAATCTTTAAAAACTGCAAAACCAACCTGAATATGAATCCTGCCAAACATACAGTATTTAATTTTGGGCCACAGAACTCACAACAGCGTAAGATACCCATGTGATCACTGTATATTTTGTGGAAGTCTGTTTGAAAATTGTCATGAATGTATGTTAAGTTAACGGTTGTTTATCCTGATCCACCTGGTGTCCATAATGTTTAGTTTGATTTAACTCAAAATTAATAAGCAGAGTTCTTGCAAAGACAAAAACATGTAATCCCAACCAGTGAAGTGCCCATACATTTTTCTCCAATAAAGTAGTTTTCGCTCCTGCCAGCCGCGTCCAAGTGTGAAGCGTGGTCGCAGTGAGAAATGTCCTCCGCAGGAACGTCGCAAAAGGGGTCTCCCAAAACAGGGAAACAGGCCTATGCCCCTGGCTGCTATGGACTGTCTTAAGATGTCGGCAGCAGGGTAGGAAAAAATCAAGGCAACATGTTACACGGTGTAGCTGAGTAAATTAAAATGCAAGAACAAAAACAAAAGAAATTAGAGGTCAGGTTCAAACATGCCAAACCAAAAAAACCTCAAAATAACTCCATTCAACATTAAAACCAGCTAAACACTTGACGCAAATCGTGTAGCCTGGCTCATAACATGTATTCATCTTCATTATCTGGTTATCAGCTAAAAATAGTGTCTCCTCCTTGGAAGCACAGTGGCGAAATGATACAATGTACGCACCACACGAAAACACTAAAAAATATAATGAGGGAAAGTCTAAAATCCTGCTTACATGTGCTTGCGATTAAAATCAACGTGTTTGCGATGCGACACTGACTTCTGGTCAAACTGAAGAAGAATCGCCCTGTGTAACAGAAGGAGGAGGAGTTCTCTATGATCAATATGAAGAGATTATGGGACGGCAACTGCCTTACTTGGCAGCCCTCTCCTAATTTGGAAACATGTAAATGAACTGCTGTTTGTGGCGATTCAATTTTCTTCAGATAAAACAGACAGAACTCCTATTGTCAGAGCCAAACAAAAAACCCCCTCTGAGCTGAGCTTCCCTGCTGCTCCTTCTCATACATGACTTTGTGTTTCCTGGTGTTCTCTGAGCCTTCCATCGGGTCCGGCCCCCCCTCTGAAAAAGTGGTCCCTGCAATGCGTGCGAACCCAAACGCATTTCGGCACAAATCACCTTTGTCCTCTGTAATCCCCCTTGTGTTCTGGGGAAAACCAAATAGTGGCTGGTTAAATGGCCTTCCAGGGCGCCACAAACTTCCAGGCAAATAAATTGGATGAAAATCGGTTTGGGCGCTGCACAGCAGAAACTCCCACTGTTCTGGGGTTCACTCCCTTATCAGTTGTCAATATGTATCTCTGGGTTACACAAAATTTATCCTCTTATTCCCATTTTAGAAATTTTAAGAAGTTCAAAGCACAAAAATCATCTGTAGAGTGTGCTCTGGGCCTCAGCTGTAGGCTTTTGGGCTGTACTTTGGGTACATAGGACTTCTGGCCATGTTATGTTTTATTCTTGGCTTTTCTGGCTCGGACCTGCTGACCATAATTTCAATGAAGGCCAAAATAATATCACATTT